AAAACTCACCATACGCAGAGCAGGAGGATTGGGAAGGCTCAACCTAAGCTTCTTCGCTGTCCTCAGACATCTCCTGCTCTTACCGGGCCGAACCCAGCAGAGCACCGGCCTCCGGATCAAGCGATGTTAAAGAAATAACATCATCCTCCAGCAGCTTACTCTCGTCCACAGCCGATGAGCGCGAGAGGGGAAAACCCCTTTTTAAACTCATCAGCCGGATCCACCTGCGATCCCCACGAGCCCATCCTCCTCCATGCCGCAGCATCTGTGGGTCCTGAGCCGCGGGAAGCAGATGGCTGCCCCCCTTTCCTCGAAAAGAGAGACAAACGAGAGCGGAGCTTTTCATTAAAATACGCTCACAATGAACGCGGATTGCCCCCTCAAGGACATCGCGTGCGTGCTCTTTGCCCAAACAAACAACGCAGAGATCGTGTGTGTCATCAGGTGTCAAATAACAACAACGTGGATGCACACACCCTCTAAACGCTTTGCTAGTGCTCGCCATAACGATAGGAATATAGATCGCTCTTACCACGGAAATGCACGCTTCAAACAAATGGTCAGTGAAGACGAAGAAGTGAATGATGTGTGCTCCCAGCGCCTATTTATACTATATTCACACCGGTAGTGATGTCATGGGCTGTCGCCGGCCAACATGTTGTTGGTGGTTTTTCAATGTATGCTTCAGACACGGGTCACGACGAGGCGTTCCCCATAGCAACCCCTAGAGGACGCAGTTTGAAGTTCCCTTGAAAGGGAACGGCTATTTTAAATTTTTGGGTGAATTCTCTCTTTAATGTCATTATGAAGTACAGCTTGAATGAGGGAAGTTGTCGTTTATTTTTTAGCATTCAGCTCCTCAAAGATTTATTTTTTGCTCCGGTTTAATAATACATTCAGGTCTTTATTCTACATGTTCTGTCATCGCTGTATGAGTTTGCTTTTGTGAAACTTCTGTCTGGATGTTTTATTTATGGCTTAATGTGGGTTTTCAGGGTGGGCAGGAGTGAGCGTGACATGTTTGTGTTCTCCTGAATGGGGGAGGTTGAGGCTTCTGGCCGGAGAGGGTGTCTGCACACACTCTCTCACACGCAGGCCGGTGCGTCTTTCTGAGTCCTCTCAAGCTGATGGTGATATCTGTCTTCCTCTCTCTCTTTTATCCAGTCTTCTCCTCCCCTCTTGTGTGAGATGAGGTCTCAAGTGTGCCAATTCCATCCTGAAAATGATATTTACCCTCTCTTATTCTTTTGTCCCCTCTTCCTGTGTCTCACTTTCAGAGAGTGCTCACTATATTGGGACAGCGTGTATCTATGCACTACAGTGACCCAAAGCCCCGTGCTAATGAAGACTGGCTCTGCAATAAGGTAACTTTCATAATGTTCTATATTTCAGTTAAATTAGTTGTTGAATAAGTCTGCCTTTGAGTTCATTTAAAAATGAAAATTCTGTCATCATTTACAATTATGTTGTTCCAAACCCATATGGAGATATTTTTGAAACATGAGAGATTTTTGTTCCTAAACTTTCAGAAAGTTCATAAAGACTAATTATAAAATGAATCCATATAAATTGAGAATTAAGACTTCTGAAGAGACACTTTCAGATAGCATTGTATGATTGAACGCATTTGATTTAGGCTTTTATTTACATATAAACGATCAATACATATACATAGAGCACAGATGTTTACTATATTTAAATATTACAATTATATCGATGATGTCACAACAATAGATCAAGTGGAAAAACATTCAAGTAATAGTGTATTTTTTGTATATTTATCAACATTTATGTCAGAAACAGTGATTCAAAAGTCTTGGATTAAACTGCTCGATTCACATGGGATTACTTTTATGATGTCTTTATAAATGTTTTCAAAGTTGTGGTGGAATGGAGTTTCAGTGGAGGGACAACAAACACTCTTTAATATTTATATATTAATATTTAAAACTACTGTTTAAAATATTAATTAAAAAATATATATTTTTTCCCCCTTTAAGTAAACAAAATGTTCTGTCTTGAGTTTTGCCAAACATCTGTTTTGATTGACAGTGTGGAGTACAGAACTTCAAACGAAGAGAAAAGTGTTTCAAATGCGGAGTTCCTAAATCAGGTGTGAATTCAAATTAATTTGTTGCAGCTATTTGTGACAGCATGGCAAAAACATGAATATGAATGTAAATCCTTGTGCATATGGCCCTTTGTTTTCAGAGGCTGAGTTGAAACTGCCTCTGGTGCCAAAGAGTTTACCTCTGGGGGAATTAAAGGACTCAGCTCAGGGTTTACTGCCCCTTCCTGCCATATACCAGACAGCAGCTCCACTAGTCAACTTAAGTTCCTCGTCCCCGGCTGCCGAGGTGGCCAATGACAGTAAGTTATACACACATTTATAGGGATAGTTCACCCAAAAATTAAAATTCGCTGCTAATTTACTTGTCCTCAGGCCATCGAAGATGTAGAGGACTTTTTTCTTCAGTAGAACATTAAATAAGATTTTTTTTCATAATAGTCGTTGGTTACCATCACTTGGAGAGCCAAAAAAGCATATCACGCAACACAAAATAAATACCCATGGCTCCTAATCATATATTGAGGTCTTATGAAGTGAAACGATCAGTCTGTGCAAGAAACTGAACATTACTTACAACATTATTATTACAATTGGTCCGTAGTGCTGTTCGGTTTGTGAACGGATCTTTCTTTTGAACCAGTTCTTTTTGGTGCACTAACCAGTTCACTAAATAGGACTGAACCAACTGAAGCAGTTCACGGCTTGAGCAGCACAGGTCTACAATTTATTCAATCAAACCTCTTTTTCTGGTATGCCTGACAGTCATTATGACTCAAAGTCCTATGATGCTGATTTTTGCCAACTCGTTACTCCAACAGTCACTGAACTGAGGAAACAATTTGACTCAGACCGAAGACCAATGAGCCAGATTTGTGAACTGCGCAAATGAAAGTTTTGATGTTTTTTTTTATGGTTTATGTAAAAAGATGAGCTAATGAAGACAGGTTTATTCACTCTATATGCTTTAGACAAGTAAAACACCTGCTTTTTACATCATTATTGGGTGCTTTGGGTATACGTGACGTCATTGCGTGATTACGTAAATGAATCAATGATTTGAACTAGTTGATTAAAATAAACAGTCCAGAAGAACCAGTTCATGGAAAAGAGTCGGAGTTCCACATTGTCCGAGACTGCACAGATCATTTTGCTTCATAAGACCTCAATATATCATCTGAAGCCATAGGTATTAATTTTGTGTTTGACTCTTAAAGTGACGGTAGCCATTGACTTAGCCATTGAATTGCACTTTATGAATCACCAAGGACCACGGTTTCAGATGAAAATCTTCTTCACTATTCTGCTGAAGAAAAAAAGGAGTAAATGAACAGCAAATTTTCGTTTTTGGGTGAACTATGCCTTTAACACTTTCATCTGGGGTAAGACGCTGCATTCACATCTATCCTCTACAGCTCTGATTTTGAGGAATCTGGGACCCCATACAACGCTGGAGGCCATTTTGTCTGCTCTTGCCCCGTTTGCTACTCTCTCACCTTCAAATGTACGGCTCATCAAAGACAAACAGACGCAGCTCAACCGAGGGTTTGCTTTCCTGCAGCTCACTACTATTGTGGTAAGACGATGACACTAGTTCTGTTAGCGCTGTATCGTGGCTACAAAACGTATGTGTAAGACCAGCACGAACAGGTATTCTATTGTGTGTTTTAGGAGGCTTCACAGCTGCTTCAGATCCTCCAGTCCGTGCAGCCTCATCTCTCTATCGATGGAAAGCTCATTTCTGTGGAGTTTGCCAAGGGTTCCAAACGGTACGAGTTCATGTTGTTCTGATACTGATCCTGCAGCATAATGCTGACGTCATAGTTGTGTAATAGGAAAGTGCAGTGAAGCCACACATGTGAGAGAATGTTTACAGAACACCTTATTAATGTAATAATGCTTTACATGTATGGGGTAGAGTTTTATGAGTTCTCTCTCTGTCTCTCAGTGATGTTTTTCTGACAGATGGCAATCGGGTGAGTGTGGCGACGGTAGCGAGTACAGCTATAGCTGCAGCTCAGTGGGCCGTCACGCAGGTACCCACAGCACAGGAAAATTAGGCTTGATTAACAACATAAATACTAATATGGATGGAAAAATGAACTTTCGAATGTTGAATGGTTTAAAATGAAAGTGCACACAGTGGCAGCAGACTAAATTAATGTCAGTTTATTCTGCTTTTGCCATAGTTACCACATGTACATTTGTCTACCTGAAGATGTTTTTGGGCTGTGACGGTTACATATCACAGATTGTTTTAACTAGTAACAATTATATTCAAACTTGGTTCTATTTCATCTTAACCACTCAGAATCAAGAAAGTTTAGAAAAAATTATTGTGTTTGTTGAATATTACCTCAATACTGTACTAGCCATTTCAAGTAGTGATGCACTGAAACCAAAATGTAAGTTTCAATTTGTCAAACTCTGAAAATGAAAATAAATTAGTAGTTAGTAGTTTATCCATGTTGTGTGCATAAAATAGACAGACACAGTCAAAATGTGCCATTGGAGAAGCACAAATTAAAGGGATAGTCCACCCAAAAATGAACGACATGAGGGTGAGTAATTAATGACATGCATTTCATTTTTGGGTGAACTATCTCTTTAAACGTTACCGGTTGACCCAAAAGGGTGACGTTTAAAGAGAGAGTTCACCTGAAAAAGTCTTAGTTCATTAGTTATTAAAAAAAAGTCAATGTTGCGATGGTGACCACTGGTTATTGTTCCAGACGGCCCAGCTCTCGGCAGTAGCTCAGAGCGGTGATATCGGTGTGCACCAGCAGGGGGCGGCAGCAGCTGTGTTTGGGCAGGTTGTCAGTGCAGAGACGCAAGCCTTTAAAGGGCGAGTGCCTGCGCTAGTGACCAGCCACACAACATTAGGTGCTACTGACGGAGGAACAGCCTCTACAGGTATAACCACAGCTCACTTACATCTGCTGTAAGCACACAAGTCTTGTATTGCAGTAAGTGTGAATCTGTATTTGATCACAGGAGAAACAGGTGCTACCTCCATATTGCCGCTCGCAGCATCCCACACCCAACTTATCACCACTACAACCTCCACACAAGCCCATCAGGTAGTTTTCTGTTATTCCTGTTCATTCAGAAGTTGATTTACTTGGTTACAATTAAGTTTCAAGCTTTTGCTTTTCTGAAGCACTAATTGTGTGTGTGTGTGTGTGTGTGTGTGTGTGTGTGTGTGTGTGTGTGTGTGTGTGTGTGTGT